ATGAAAGTATGTTTTTGTTTCTGGTGTAAAACATAAAAAATATATGATATTCATTCAGAAAACTCAGACTAATATTAAGGTAGCGCTGCATCTTAATGTTTTGGGTTTCTTGAAATTTTTATTGTTTCTTTATTTCCATGACAACAAGTGTAGTTTGTCAACTACAGGATCACTCAATGAATACCTTTCTAAATTGTGTGGGTGAGTCAAGTTGTGGGACCTTAATCCATTTACTCAGTCACATTATGGGATCTTATATTCCTAATGGGAACAAAAAGCAAGTCCCTATAACGTACATTTTTTAAATGGTTAAAAAGCTGAGGGCTAGGCAAGTCCATAAGAGCAGTTTCGGGGAGAGCTCTGTGGCTCGTGATGTTTCTGGTTGAACAGGAAATAGTTCTGACTTTGACATTCAGCGTTCAGGCAAAGTTAGTTGGAAAGATCGGCTTCATTTTGTTGCTGCTACGTGTGTGATGTGTTTCTCCTCTATCAAAATAGAACTTAATGAAAGTAGGCTGTCCCCGCCTCTAATGGCGCATTGATCGTCACGTTACAGTGGAAATACAGCCATAGATTAACATTGATTAACTCTGTCTGGTACCAGCCTGGCAAACAAATAAATACACACATTGGAAACTTAAAAAGATTACTTTAATAAAGTACATGACTATCAGACTAAAATTAATATCTCCTTGGCAAGAAAAGATTTGGATGAAAAAATTAGTTTTCATTGGTTTTAAAAGTGTTTAAATCCGATTCTCCTAAATCCATTTGAGTTTTATGTGGAAAAGATGAAGCACCACAGACGACAGATGGACATCAGTGTATGTGTGAAGCTTCATCTCCCTGTGCAGTTAACACATCATGGTTACAGACTCAGTCAGTATAATTACGTATACTTCACCTTTTACTGTCAGTTGTTTATGTCCAGCGAGACCGTTGCAAACCTGATGAGAGAATTTGACATAAGAAGCATGTGAATATTGCATTCTGCATACCACCGGCTTCTAGACCTCTATATTTGCATTTTTCTTTTCTATACTGTCTTTATGCTTTTTCTTCATGTGAAAAAATGGATTCTGTGTTTCTTCTGAGGTTGGACTTTTATAAGTGGATATCTTAGTCCTGGGAAGTCGGGGGAGAAACACAGTTTCCATTTCGATCTCAGTTTTCATAAATAAAAAAAGGAAGGCCAGCATCAGGAGATGGATTTAGGCACATTGAATCATACATTCTGCATCGCCCTGGTTTTCAGTTCCACTTTTATTCAGCGAAGGCGGCTTTTTCTCTCAGAATAACTCTCACAACCAACAGTGTGGTCATCCCAGAAACATGCGTCATTACATTTCCCCATCCTGGGACTAACAAGGGATTATCTTATCTTATCTTTAGAGTCACATGTCATCATTGTTTGCCTTCACCAGCGTATTTGGGAGGTGAGTTAGTCGAATACAGATCCTCAGGTTTTCTCTGCAGCAGGTCAACCATGGGATGGCCTCAAGCCACAGTTACGTAACAACAGAGTGGCAGCCGCCATTGCCCCAGTGAAGCACCTGTTTTGTAAGAGGCCATGATCAGCGTGTGCCAGGCAGGATGCAGACTCCTGCAGAGCCCTTTATTGATCGTGGGGCTGCCTATCAAATGATTCATCCTTCAATAAAAGAAAGGAACAGCGCAGAGTCAGAACACTGCTGGCTGATGATTCATCCACAACAGCAACCAACCAGAGGGTGTTGAGACAATAAAGCCTTTTTTTTACAGATTATATGATTTGATTTGTGAATGCAAACTATCTCTCAATCTTCAATTATGGTTAAATCCTCCTTATGCATACATCAACCTCCGCTGTAAAACATTACATATTACTGCTTATACTATGAAAACATTTAAAAAAGATATTTATCATTTCACGGGGCAGATGCTGACAGTAAACGTAATATTTGGGGGAACACGTTCAGAAGGTTGAAGGTTAAGTATGTGTAGGATTTTGAAGTTATCCCACTCTGTAGTGACAAATTAAGTGATTAGTGATGCTGATTGTAGCTTCAAATTGCTAACTTGTTGATCGTAGGTTTGTTTAATTGTTTGTTTGTTTATTTGTCAACAGGATTACTGAAAAGAATGGATTTCCACAAAACTATGTGGAACGATGGGACATGAGTTGAGAGAGAACCCATTAAAGTTCTGCCTGGATCAGGACAAACAGGACAAACCGGGATTAAAAAAAAATTTTTTTAAACATAGGAATTGATCTCGATGGAAAAAAAGAGGAATATTTAGGAAACTGAAACCATTGACTGCAATTTGATGACGATCCAAATAAAAATCCAGGTCTGTCGGGCCTTGGCTGAAGCATTTGCTCTACTTAGTGCCATTCTGGTTACTTATTTATTAATAGTTTTCACTTTGCACAGTCGTAAAATGTCTTTTCCTTCTTCATGCCTCCTCTTGATGTAATCAGACTCAGCATCACATCCTTTGCTTTATATTGCACTTGAACTAAATTATCGCAATATTGAAATACTTTTCCTCCTCCACTACACCTGACTACTTTCAGTTCAGTGTAATTCAGATCTATAAGTGGATTTTGTTCTGGGAATATATATGCACTCCGTTCAGAACAAAATGAAGAGCGTGTGATAAAAGGAAAACAGCAACACCACAGTAAAGATAAAAAAAAAAAGATAAGTCGCATGAGTGCAAGTGATACAAGCAAACATGAATTTTACAAGCGAACTTTTATTATTACTGACTGTCCACACAGAGCTGCTGTGGTCAGTGCTGCAGCCTGCAGGACTCACCTGTATATGTTCTATGATACAATGCATTTCTCTGCTGTTTTTCTTCTGCTCAGTTCTCCTGAATGAATGTCATGAGTGTAGATGTTGACCTTGGCTGGTATCTCTCTCGCTGGTGTGGAATGCAGTCACAACAGTGGTCTACTTGTCTTACTGGAATATTTGGAAGTGTGTCAGTTTTCATGTGGTGTTTGGATTGTTGTTTCGGCTTCATCCCTCCACCTCCACTGGGATCTCTCCTCTTCGTTCGTTGGGCTCCGTGTCTGTGGAGCAGCTGTGGTTATGGTGGAGATCACAAAACGTTACAGCATTTTTCACACTGTTTTTCTGGTTTTGTTCTGGCGGCGTCGATTCAAAGGGCAAAGTAGAGTCTGAGACTGCATCCTGTGATGATAACAACAGGCCTGTGGTGCTTCTTCTAAAGAAGTGGACGAGCTCTGATAATAACACTTATGGAAGCAGGCTCAGTACACTGATAGTGAGCCGCTCATCCATACAGCAAGTGGTGCACATGCTGTAAACTGAACACACAGTGGCATGACAGCCCATTGTTTTACTACACGAGAGTGATAACAGTCGTGCTCTTCACCTTTAATACCATTAGGCTTATCGATTCATATATTACTTACATACTCACATGCACATAACATTTCAATTATGAGCTTTTTATGTTTTAATGAATCCCAATTCAATGTTAAAGGGTCAGATCACTCAAAACAAAAATTATCAAAGCTATACTGACCATTTCCCATTTTTCCAGATCTCACTTCACTAATATTAAATAAGCTTTACTTACTTACTACTAAGCATGACCAGTTGACAACATACCCTTTAATCACAAACCCTTAATGAATGGATGCCATACATTGTTTTTAGATTTTTGTGTGTAACTCCATTTTATTCGTTTTCTGCACTGGTTATCTTGTTTTAATTTCATTCTTTCCATCACACACTTTGTGACTTTGTTCATTAAAGTTCTAAATATAAACAAAGGTTATCGTCATTATTTACACAATGACCTATTGTGTCAGTTGTTCTCAATTACCTCAGCTTTGACAGTCCTTCTCTACACCAGCCTGGTTCCTTTCCAGCAGCACAGTTTTTGGCATTCTACTGCCTTTATATAACTTTACTTCCACTTTCACTCTGACCGCATATTCTTCTTTGCTTCTTTTGTTCAATTCTGGTAAATGCTAAAATCTTGTGCTACAGTAATACGAGTTGAGGAGTCATTGAGACAACCAGAATGAGCACCTTTCACTTTAGTCCACAGAGGCAGTGAGATAGAGCTGTTCCAACTGAAGTCCTGCTCAACATGCAGTTTCAATTTCTGTTCCTTTGCAGAGAAACACACTTCTGGCGTTCAGTGGTGTTTGGTTCTCACTGCTAATGGAAAATATGCACAGAACACTATGTTCCGTTCAACCCCAGAAGAATCTCGCTGTGGTCCAATTTTTTTCTCTCAACAGAAGCTGAAAACACTAAACTGTAGTAAACAGATTCTGGTCCTGAAGGGAAGTTACTACTTTACGAGTAGACACAGGTTCCAAAGAGCATTTAGACACAATTCTATCCACTGACATTCTGAATAAAATGGACAAGTAACAGTGAGAGAGGGAAACTTTTATTGACACATGACTTGACAACAAATGCGAGTATAACCTACATGTTTAACAAGTAAGCAGCCATTTTTAGATGATGTGGCAGAGTATTATTGATCAGTGTTAGTTCTTGGCACTGCACGTTTAAGGCATAAACTGTTAAAAAGTTATATTTAAGCATATAAAACCTTAAAATGTGAAATTGTGACGTAAACTGGGGAAATACGGATTCACCATAAAGGTGCATTTATTACATTTCGTTGACTCTGGAGTGAAAGAAGATTGAAGAGAAACATAATCTAAACCTGATAAGATGTTGTACAAACCTACTAAGTGCAGAATATCTCTATAACAAACAGTAAAATGAGAATACAAAAATATACAAATATACATACTTTTAAATTTCACAGGATTTCACTTGAACCCCTGCTTTGTCTTAGATGCAGCAAGATGTTTAACTGACTTCTCATGTGCGCCACAGAAACATGAATAACTCAGTAATAATTCTGGTGTTGTGATCTACAGTGAAGGAAATGTGAATTAAATCTCCATCACAGTCATTCATAAAAGTGAACAAAGACGTAACAGAGAGAACATTGAAGAGATGAAGACGAGAACAGACCCTTACAAACTTTTTGTATTCCACTGGTCAGAAAGATCATTTACTAAGTGCCCTCCTGAACCACCCAGAGACCTGATCTGCTCCAGACTCTCCCTCCCAAGATAAGCTTTCTCCTCTGACCGAGACTGACCTGTAGTCACTAACCTTCCCTTTCCACTGATCCCACTGACTCTGCCTTGTCACTAACCTTCGATATAACACATATTCCACCGTGAGACCCATTGCTATGGGAACTGTGACTTTGAGCATTGCTGTATCCATGGGAACCGTTTCTGTGATGTGAGTTGCTCCGGTGAGAGTTGCTGTTGCTGTCGAGCTTCCTTTGTTTACCCTAGAAAATGTCTCCAAATAACTTTTGGTTTCGGGAACTGTGCTCAGAACCTGAGTCATACTCAGTGTCAGGCCTGGAATATTGATCTGGTTTCTCTTCTCCACCTACACGAGGTTCTACTGAAGCTTTATTGAAGGTCACATCAAGTAGCCTGTTGTCGTACAAGGACCCCCGGACAGAGGATGAGGATCTGGGTGTGGTGGTGTCAGCTGCAGCACCAGGGGGAGCAGGCGGGGCGTAGCTTTCCTAAAAACAGAAATCGGCAGTGCCTTAATCCTGAAGTCATATTGTAACCCTGGTTCTCTGAGTAGGAACTTAGTCTTATCAAAAATCTAAATCCTCAGACTTGACCTAGATGTCAGGTTAGTCCTGTAGAAGCCAAGTAAGTGGTGATATTAAACAATTCATCCAAAATCCACCAAAATGCAATATGAGTATGTGGATTTGTTGTCTCACATGGTCAGATTTACTCACTGGTCCTGTTTTTAAAGCTTCATGAAACTGAAACACTTTCAGGGGAAACATTTCCGAACACTGCATTGCATTTCTTTACCAAAGAGAAGGCATCAGTCTTTGCCTGAACATCCGGAACATCCCGTCTGGACAATGATGGTGCAGCATCCAAACGTGTTCCTAAAGTAGAGGAGAGCTGAGGTTGTCCCACAGGTTGGAAATCTGTCTTGTCGATTCCAGCAATCGAAGCGAGCTGACCAAGGCTATAAAAAAGAAATTACATTCAATATTAAATTACATTTATATCCCTTAAGTTACACATGCATTTCATTTATATACTTAAAATAATCTGATATTGAAATATGAACAGTTAAAGTCAATAACTTCCCACCGAGGTGTCATATGCAGATTAATTACTTGAAGATAAAATGATCTGGTGGAAAATAGTAAAAGCACTCAATGGCCTCCATAGCAAGAAGCATCCTTGTATGAGGCGTAGAAACCACCAATCACTCATACACTTATATTCCAGTATTAAGAAACAAGGCTCAAGAAATACAAGGATTTTCTGTTGCGTGGAATCATTAATCAGCCAATTCAATCAAAAATGGAGAAAGAAGTAAAATAAGAAGCTGCAGAGAACGTTTGTAAGCAAAATTAACAAAATTTAAGGCATCGCCTTAGTTCTGAAAGTTGTGTAGTTGTACAAAGACTTCCTTTAAACCACTGAGGCCCAGAACCATGTGATACAGTCGCAGTCAAAAGTTAAACTGTGCACCCACCCAGCGTCCCTGAGGAGATCCAAGAAAGCATGGAACTTGCTAAATGAGCCCTCAATACTCTGGAGTACAGCCTCGTCTTCAAGAACACTGACGGCAGGGGGTGCAGATCTAGAGCCAGTGGCTGCAAGCACCTCTGACAGGGAGCGGTTGGCATCACGAAGACGAGCATTCTCCAACTCATACTGAATACAAATAAGACAAAATAATAGTTTGGTTACAAAACAACATACAGATGATAAAAAAATCACCAGTACCGAAAGGTGTAATGAGAACATTAACCGGCATGAACTTTAAATATAAATCATCTCAACACATGATATCTTGATAAATACAGAAATAACATCTTCAAACATTATTAAAAATATTTGGATTATTTAAAACACAAAACAACTTTTGTTTCCATAAAAGGTCAAAACTTTGTCAATTCAAAGTGCAGGATACTCATCTGTACTAATCATTTTGGGTGTTTTTATGAATTCGGTATTTTGTTTTTTGTAATTTGAAGATTTCTACCTCAGCTCCGATGATACATCTATAATTTACTGTGTACTCTGAGGTCTTAAAGGACATAAATACCATTCTAATGAAATTTTAGATCACTCATTGATTACATCATCTAAACGTGCAGTCTGCATTATTAGGCTTTCAATATTGAGTCCAAGCCCCAAATTTTTGAACAATGGAGCAAGAACATGTTATTTCCCTGCAGCGAATTTTTAAAAACAACATGAGCTGGACAAGGAGTACATCTGTGAAGTACACCACACTCACACGGACTGAAAAGAGCTTTAAACTAAGGGTGTCAATGTGTATTCTCTGCTTAATCAAACCTTTTTTAAAGAAAATCATTACCTCCAAGAGCCTCGACTTAGCTCTCCGTCCGGCTCTGCGCTCCTCTGCCAGACTCAGGCGACACTCTTTCAGCTCCATCTACAGGACATTATTAAAAACACACACACAGTATTTGAGATCCAGACATTTGCCATCACCAACTGTCACCATCACCTGTTTGGGATCGATGTTGTTGTGACTGACCTGTAAACGTTTAAACTGCCGTTCAGTGATCCTGTCCTGGAGATTTAAAGAAGATGGTCTCTGCTCCACTTCCACCACAACTTCTGCCTCTTCCTCTTCCTCCTCATCTTCCTCCTCATCTTCCTCCTCCTCCTCTCCCTCTGAATTGGAATCCACAGTAACCTTCACAGTAGCTCCACCCTAAATAAACCCATGTATTTCAACAGATGAAGATTAAAGATATTGTGTGGGTTTCACTCACTGTCAGTTACAGGTCAAGAAAGCTTACCTGGAAGCTTTGGTCTGTCACAGTTCCCCCAGGAGGCAGACCTCTGCAACAGAGTCATCCAACATAAAATGAGTCTTTGATTCATGAAGTGATATTACAGAAACCCCTGGAGGATTCTTTTTAAATATAGGTGACAGCAAAATATAAAGATGTCACAAATTTAAAGTTGGAAAACGCTTACTTTACACAACTAAATTAGTATGCCAACATCTCACCTCTGTCGTCCAGCTCGAGCAGCAGTACGCCAAGGAATGAAACTCGAACGGGAATGAGGCTTCTGTGTCTGAGCAGCAGCTGAACTCTGTCCTCCAGGTGTTCCTTTAGAAGCAGCTGCACCAGAAAGAGAGCTGTGTGACTGAATGTTGAAGAACACAGACCTTTCTCTACAGGGAGATATACTAGGAGTACTGACAACAAGCCTCTGTTGATGAACTACTGTAAAATCTTAAACGATTACCAAAAGTGAGATGGATGGATGGAAAAATCAAGTATAACCACAACACTATATCTTTTTATGAGTATGAGAGAAATAAAATATACTTATTTATTTTACTGGCTTTATTCTGTGGTCACTATCAATATAATATTTGTGGTAATTTTGTTTGACTAAAACTATATTGTTTGAAATATCATAAAATTTTTTAAGGGAACCAAGAAGCTCTTACATACATACCTATCCTAAATGTAGCTTTTCTTCTCACTGACTGTCTCTTTGGACCAGCAGCTCTCTGTGGCTCAGTGGTTGCAGGCTCGATCCAACAGTACTAAGATAAGAGGCAACACAAGCAAATATTAAACATGGTGTGTATGTAAATACACAACTCATAGAATTTGAACGTTTGTTGTTAATAACAGTTTTAGGTGCAGACACTGACCTCTAGTGACTGTCCATTAGCGTTCATCAGTACTTTCTCTATTATCGTTTTAATGGGGACCTTGTCTGTAAAGGAAAGAAAAACATTTAGCAGATAGAAAAATGTTTTCCCCAGAGATTCTTTTTGTTTGTTTTCAGAAATGTTTCTAAACACTTAAAGTAAATACAGCATGATAGAGCCATTAGCGGCTTTTAGTATGAAAATACAACATATTCAAAATGTTGAGAATTAGTATGCAGTTGACACGGCTACTTAACAATGTGCTACTGTCTAGAAGGTACAATGTTTATTACACCCACAACACAAAAGAACTGTGTGAACCACCCAACATATCAATAATCCATCAAACTGGCCACAGATCTACGCAGTGTGTGACTTTGATTGAGAGCTTCTTACCAACTAAAGGGTTACTACGGATATCCAGTACACAAAGAGAAGAATTTGTTTTTAAGGCCTGCAGCAAACGATGAGCTCCTTCGTTGGACAGACCACATCTCTGTAGGTCCACGGCTGTTCAACAAGTCACAGAATAGAAGCAGAAAACCTGAGCAAACTTCTTGCAGAACAGCAACAAAAACAAAACACGTTCTCTTCTCTTTGCCTCAAACCATCCCCTACTAACCTTTAACCCAGAGGTCCTCAGCCAATTCTTGTGCAAGAGCAGCAGCACCTCGGTCCCCAATCAAAGTGTTACAGTTGAGGGTGACTCGGCGGAGACCTCCCATTCCCTCGAAATGTGGCTGCCGATACCTCAAAGACTCCGCCCATGCAGTACCATGCCTCTGCATTCCCTGATGCTGAGAAAAAACATTATTACAAATAGGGATTTTTTTTAAATACATGTCTTATTTGAAATAAGATTTATATTGTTTGATTAATTACATGCTACTACATTATAAAATGTCCATACCACAATAAAAAATGATTATGCCAGATCAAGAATTAAAAATGAAATACTACACCTTGATTATGTTGGCCATATGCTCTGCTCCTCTCCAGGTGAGATTGCATCCTGTAAAATCCACCGTCCTGATGCTGGATGAGTACTTAACACTTTGACAAATCACTGAAACACGTGAAGAGGCCAGTTACAAAGATAAACCATCGCATACAGTGTAAACTTGAACTTTCTGAATGATGAAAGGAAATGATACTGTAAATAAACATACCCTCTAAGCCCTCATCAGATATTGGACAATTGGCGAGGGATAGATTTTCCAAGGAAATACTTTTTGCCAAACCCTGGAAAAGAACACACATGGCTGTTGGAATCAACTTTAACCAAGATTCATTGTTTCCAAACACCCCCACATTCTCTGTAGTTTATGAAAATCATCTCATGATTCTGTGCCAGTTCTTCTTAATAAAATAAAACAATAAAATAGTTTAAACTTCACTGTTTACAGTATAAATAATATCCTCAGTGTTTTCACCTTTGTCAATGTTATGAGGTCCCGCTCTCTCAGTGGAAGTCTGTTAAGATGCAGAGTCTTGAGGTTGGGTGACACAATCAGACACTCTCTAAGTGCTTTGCACAACTTTAATGTCATGTCCTTAGAGAGAATGGCTGGGATCTTCTTCTTGAAGCTGGACTTATAGTACCTTCTATCTGAAATTGGTGATGATATGATTAATGTTTAGCAAAAAAGTAGGAAGTCATTTAAGTTTCTAATTGAACTAACATGTACAGGTTAACACTGTACGTAAATAAGAAGATATACACTACCTTTTCACTTTCAGTTGATGAAATAGGTTAATTTTGGGGCCTTACCTGCAGCTCCAGAACCCAGACTAGCTTGGTAAGTGCTGCTAACAGCAATGTGGTGCAGGTGTTTGTTGATGGAGATAGAGGCGAGAACGGGCGGCCAATCTGTCACTTTGAGCCTGTCTCCATTAAAGTCCAGCATCCCTTTGTCAAGGTTCATCTTGATAACGGGGAAAGGGACTGATTCCTGTCTGGCACAGACAAAGTCATAGTACGCCATAAAGTCCTGGGCCCCCTGCCGCCGAATCTGAGCACTGTCCTGAACCATCTTTGATCTAGGAAGACAAATATTTGAAGTGATTTAAAAGACTAATTACACAATCTCCACATGTTTTATTTTACACAGTAAATGGCTGTCTTTACATAATCAAATATTGCAACATGTGACATACGTTGTATTTTCAACATGCATATAAACCAACCAGCCACAACATTAAAACTGCTTTTACTACTAGTCTATTGTTTTATTGCTGTGGCTGATCTGTGTATTTGTATTTGTCCAGTCCAACTCTTGCTCACTTAATACTTATTCATTTATAATGTTTTAATTTGTTAGACGGTGGTTATGATGGTGTGTATTTTATCATCAGGGAAGAGGATCAGATCCACTAAGTTTTAATCATTACTTCTTTATATTTGATCTAATCAGTGCATGTGCAACAGTATGGATCCCAAACAAAGCTCTTAGTTTTTATAATAACTTCTTTTTATCAGATCAGTCATGGGGAGATTATTGTAGTTTTTCATTGAAATCATTTGATTACATCCTCGAGGTTTGTTACTATTACGAGTAAATAAAAGCCTCTCGACTCAGTGTTTCTTCGCGAAATAAAAACGAGACTTCGCAACACTTGAGCATGAATTAAAAGCTGAAATATTAAGTTTGTTCGTAATTTAGCTCTAAACTAAGTTGAAAGTTCTCACAGCACTTTGACTGCACAGTGTTTACTGTTCTTGAGCTAGCGGCGTTAGCAAGCTAATCGCCTAGCGACCGTTGGTGGTGACGGACAGTGGTTCTGTGAATGAGTCTGACAGCGCTGTGTTTCCATATTAACAACATTTCACCAGACTCAAACTACATCATTTACCTTCCACACGGAGCTGGAGCCTCTGTCTCCGTGGCTCAGCGTCCATTAACCACCGGGACAGCGTCACTGCTTGTTGTTGTTGACGACGCGAAGCATCGAGCGATCAAAAGTGGCGCTGGAGAGTCAGAGCGGAGCGTCTTCCTCGCTGCGGGATCTGCGGCTCCACCCACAGCTCTGCCGCCACCTACCGGAGAGGAGGCACACACGCGCGCATTCCCTGACAATCAATAGATCACAGGGCCCTTCAGGGGTCACAGGGGGGCCCTGGCAAAAAGGTGGATTATTTACTTTCACAATAACTTCATCCATACGTAGCACAGTGATAATGGTTGACTATTATGGTCCTGAATATCACACACTTCCTGTAATAAAACAAAAATCTTGTCGAACGGGGGTCCATGGTCTAGTTAAGGGGTATTTATATTGATCCGTTTTTTTTCTGATTAACAGCCTGAGAATAGAGAAATTGGAAAGTGTTCAAATTTGAAGAGCTGGCAGCAAAAGTTGGGGATTTTTGGGGATATCTAGTGAACATGAGGCTTTTCAAGATCCCTGGGTATTTGTTTTGATCAGTTGGTAATTGAACCAACTAAATCTAAACGGTATATTGTGTTTTACAAAGACCACACCTTTAAAATTATTTATTTATACATTTTATAACATTATATCAACTTGTAAAAAGTAAACTTGGCTTTAAAATCAAATATAAAAAAAAAACGACTGCACTGCTTAAATTAACAATATCAACCCACAAAACTATGAAAGGTCCCAAATCAAAGTACACTCAGGCCTCAAATAGGTCAAAGATGTAAAGTTGAGTAAACCACAGCATTTCTGGAAATCTCAGCAGTGAGTGAAAAACTATATAAAGAAATACTTTGCTTGTGGAACTGAATTCATTTGCACATGAACACGAAAAAAGAGAAATGTTTTAAATACAACGTGAAGTAGTGTAGATGAATCACACTATGAGTAACACATACAATTCAACCAGATCTCTTCTAATTGAATCAGATCATAGACTGTTGTAAATAATCATATAAACTCTGACAAATCTCGCAACTCTAAATACGTGCGATGTCCCATTGCGGCTTCCGTAGATGCTAGCAAGCAGCTAGCTGTCGTTAGCTACTTTCTACAGTTAATCACAGGAGCCGAATAAAGAGTCGACAACAAGGCAAAGTAAGTTTACTCAACTGCCTCCGAGAGGTCCTGGGTTAATATTAGAGATGTAACCGTGTCAGGCTGGATCATGTTGAGTTTGTATCGTATCTACAGTTCAGGTTAGCTGAGGAAACACGGTGGAGTTGGTCAGGGTTTGGATGTGAAGCAGAAAAACAATCATGTTTTGGGGTAAAGTGAACATCAGCGGTGTTCGTCTGTAGATTTTCACCACCAGTCGTTTTGATCCACTGACTGTGATGAAAGCAACAATAACCCTGAACAGTACAATAACGTCTTTATTTTCAATTACTGCCTCGATTAGCTTTACTCCTCAGCAACATCCCAGGATCTGAAGTATCCACTTCACTGTCAGATATAATGAGCAGCAGATCATCACGACACTGAGAAGCTGCAACCAGCTAATGTTTGCAAAATGTATTTAATGAATCTCAGCTTGAAACGTTGCTGAGAAGATGAATTCATTATCTGACTCGTTGCTGATTCATTTGATCGGTTGACTAATTTACTTTACTTTAATAAGCTAAATGTTATTATTCTCTCTCGTTATTATTTTTGTTTTATCACATATGAAGTTTAGCACTACACGCTACCAATCCCAGCTGTGGAGGCACTGTCTCTGTTTTATATTAATATTTTAGATTTCAATTCTTTGTGCTTTCGTATGTACTTGAATCCATGTGTGACCCTGAATCAACTTATAAATAAAGAATATCAGATTTTAGTATAAATAGTTTTTAAGATCCTAAAAACAGCAAGCTATTCAATTTACAGTGATAAAAAACAAAGGCACAGCACATCCTGACATTTGGAAACTTGTAACAGAATATTTGGTCTTTGTGTTTGTTGATTGTTTATCTTATCAGTTATCTTAATAAACTTAAATGTGATACTTTTATTTTGAAACATAAAAAATAAGGTTTCAGGAGATTAGGACTACTGAACTTGAAACATGTTGACTCGCATTTTTAATGACATTTCATCAATGTGTCTGAGTACAACATGAACTGACCTCCATGAACTGGCAATTGAAAATTGTGAATGACAGGGTGGGGGTGTCAGTGAGTATGTGAAGGTCATTTTGTAATGTAACATGAGTTGTATTCATTGACTCATTCTGCCTTGAACTGACATCAGTGATGTAAGGGATCTTCTATACTGCTCTAAAATCAGTTCTTCTCTTCACAGGTCGGACGATGGTTTTGAATCTGTGTCAGCCGCACTTTTACACAACAGTTCATTGTAACAAGGTGCGGCACATTTCATGCATCCATCTTGATGTAACTATAACCTTCTGAAGTCATTTATTTATTAAAGAACTTTTGAGTATAAAACTGCTGCAGCACCCGGGTGACATGTTACTATTGCTTACAATAACATGGCACAAAAAAACAAACTCAAACTTTAATTTCTGTGCTGCACAGTTATGCTGTTTTCTGAGAATAGCTCTCATGTGTGTCTGATGTGTGTTGAGACAAAAGGGAAGAATCAAGGTGTATGGACACAAGGATGAGGGAGGAGGAGGAAGATGTGAAAATAAAGAAGAGGGACAAAGTGGTGTGTGGGAGACTGATTCGCTACTGACCTCGTTGGGTTCTTTTTACTGAACATTTCTCAGTTTCTCATGGCTGTATTGCCTCCCCAGCTTTGATGGAAAAATTTTCTTTCACTCATTCAAGTGATCTTGAATAATATTCATCATCTGTCATATTGCTCCCTCTCCTTCCACATGATGTTTTACAGTTTTCTGTTGCACATGATATATATTTTATTGTGTGAGTTTGATGTGCCGCTCTCAGTCACATTGCCAACGTGACAAGCCTGGGAAAGTTTTTCACAATTGGTGATGTTATTCATGACATATTAACAACTTGCCTTATCACTTATAATTAACATTGTAACAAACACATTAAATTGGACAGACCTGAAGTTTGTCATGTTTTACATGAGACAAATCTGCACCTTATGTCTTAAAATGATGTCCACCATTCTGAGCAGGGGAGGTGTGTTTGCTTACATGTCATTTTGGGTTGTTTAAACAAACAATTCTATGAATCCTTATTTTTCAACTACAGCTATGTGCAGACGGCTATGATGTCTCTAACCTCGTGTCAGCTGAACCTGCTCTCCGGAGGCGGGGCTTCAAGCTGGAGTACTTTCTACGTCCACCTCTGCAGGTAAGATGAATATGTTGCACTGTGGTAGTTTACCTGCTTTGAATTATAAAAGAAGATTGAAACCTCTCATTTTTCTGTAGCTTCATATTTACCAAACAGAGTGAATAAAGTGATCATTACCTGTAGCCTCTCAAATATCAGGATAAAAACCTGTGACAGATTCATCTGGCGACTGACTTCCTTTTGATTTGAGCAATTCAATCCTTGATAAGGGAATTTGGGAAAGTGCTAAGTGTCTACAGCGAATTTCTCCTTTAATGCCAAATATTAAGAAGGCAATTATCTTTGTTGCTGATATCAAGCAATGTTTCTTTCTCACAGAGGGGGGCTACACTCAATCTCTTTTCAGACATGAACTCTGGAAAATGTCTGGACAATTGGGTCTGGCGGGATGTCAGTTCAGTGCATGTCTGAAAGAAGCTTGATTGGCAGTAATATTGAGAAATGAATGGCACTGCAGTCAGCATTCATCACTGCTATTTATAAATTGATGTTTTCTTTGTCTTCTCAGGTGACACTGAAGTTTGGCTTCCAGGTGGAGCTATGCAGGGTGGATGTGGAGCTGTGGCCCTGGGGCATGGACAGAGGACAGGCCAGCAAGAGACTGGAGATCAGCACCAGCTCTGATCCGCTACCTTCTCACAAATTGAATCAAGGACACAAACAGGTTCAGCAAAAAAAACAAATACAGATGCAGGTTAACGACCAGAACAAACAGTATAAAAACAAAGTGTGTGACAGTAAATCTCACCATAGTAATGGACACCAGTGGACTCTTCAGGCCAAACAGTGGGGGGGAGAGACTGAAGGTGGGCATTCATACAAGCAGCAGATTGCCAAAGATCAGGCTCAAACAAACGCAGACTCCGGCCAACCTGAGGCAGAGTTTAAACTGGTGGGTCGATGTGAACTTCGAGACGAAACCCGAGTCTGTTTTTCACATTCAAATTTTCGCCCCCAGCCCCTGTTTCCCTCCGCACCTCCGTCGCAGCCCACAAACTGTCGACAGGAGGAGCTATGGAGCAGGGGTGCGCTTTCGTTGGGCGCCGTGACGCAGCTTCGAGTGACCGTGCCGTTTGGCGGGTCCGCGTCAGCTCTGGGGTTCAAGGCTTTGTCTGTGTGGGGACAGCCTGCTCGCTGCTGCCCTCCAGAGGAAGTGGAGAAGATTAAAACGGTCCACGAGGCCAGTGAAAGACGACTGCCGCAGCCTGTGTTTTTTACCTCCTCTGTCAGACCAGCCAGTCAACCACAGCAAGCAGCCACACCTGTGAGGTATATATGAATTATTCCGTTTATCTGTTTAATCAGTGTTAAGCTTAAAAAGCGCTATACAAATCAATGTATTTCTTTCTTTTTGCATAAAAATGAAGCTCAAAATAACAAGATATCAGTTTTCTTACAGTTTGATAACCGCCTGTTGTCTTTTTGTCTGACTCCAGCAATCCATCCATCCCAGAAGAGTTCCTTGATCCTTTAACCCAGGAGGTAATGATGCTGCCGATGCTGCTGCCAAGCGGTGTATCGGTGGACAGCACCACTCTGGAGGAGTGCCAGAAGAGGGAAGCCACTTGGGGTCGCCCCCCGAACGACCCCTTCACCGGGGTCCCGTTCACTTCAACCTCACAGCCTCTTCCCAATCCCCAGCTAAAAATACGCATCGACCACTTCCTACTGCAGAGAGGGGGGGTTGGGAGGGACGGGATGTTGGGGAGACAAGGGGAAGGAAAGAATCCACAAGCCTCGAGACTTATAACCTCTAGAGAAGACGGACAATCCCACAATACTTCATTTCTCAGTAAAAGCTCAATAAACAGTACTGTTAGAAGCTCTAAGAGGACTATTCAGGTAGAAGATGCTGGATTAGGACAATCATCAGATCATGGAAGTCTACGGATTAACTCTCAGCCTATTGCTCTAGAAAATAAATCAGAGTTGGATCAAAAAAAGAAACGATATCTAAATTCTGGAAGAGATTCAGTAGAAGAGTTTGATGAGAAGCAACTACGACCTCAAACAAAAAGACCGAGACATGATGCACTTTCAGGTGAGTGTGATTGTTTGTAAGCGTAAGATCCTAAAACACGTTTGTATAGTTTTCTGTGTTTTAACTATTTTCCTGCTGACTTGTCCTTTATGTCGATGTTTGCCCCGGCACCACCCCCACCTCAGTCCCCTCCTGCAGCTCCCATGAGCAGCGTTTGTCCGCTAGCCTGGACGAGGCCCTCTTCTCCGCCCTGCAGGGCCGACCTTCCTTCACCTCAAACTTGCCCCAGCAAAGACGTGAAACTCGTGACAGTGAAGCACTGAACACCACGCAGCAGAGTCCGAGTTCAGACATTCCAAACACCGGCACAGGTAGGATAAGTAAAGATCGACTCATGTTTTGGATTTTAAAAACATTTCATGATTTTCTATATGAACTGTATTTCCCTCTGTGGCTTTAAAAGGTTTGTGGTTTATGAAGCGGCAACAAGGAAGCATCCAAACTTTCCTACGCTGCTTTCAGACATGTACTGAAGTCTGGACATTTTCCTGAGATTTTCTGGATGGCTGTATTTGAGTATCCCTGAGTCAGTTGCTCCAGACCTTTCCAGCAGTTTTTCTGAAGGACAAGAAGGTTAAATCTAATCTGAATACCATGTTTCTGCTTTTTGCCTTGCAAAAGATCTAAGTTGATTACCATGATGACTTTTCAGAGCTGTGACGTTCGTCCTTATAGTTCAACAAAATACTCTGCAGTTTTTTAACATCTGATTAGCCTTCACACACACTGATTGTTGATTTCCTCTCATATTTTCTTGCCAGGTGAGAAGACCTGCTCTGCGTGTTCCTGTTCAGTCTCTGTTTACTCCACTTCTGCGTCTTCCATCTACCGTCTGACCTGCGGTCATTTGCTCTGCCGTGCCTGCGTGCAGAGGCGATCACACATTCCAAACTCTGTCACTACAGTAACATCCAATCACGTCTTGTGTCCCACCTGCCAAAGCACTACCCCACGCAGCGACATCATACGTGTGCATCACTGAAAGAAATGTGAAGCTGTGCCTTCAAAGCCTGTGAACAAACCAGGATTTGTTTTGTGACTGTGTTGAACTCGCAGTGAAGGAAAAACATTAAAGCTGAAGGTTAAAATTCCCATGAATACATTGTTTATTGAGTTTGATGCTGTTCCCTTCTTTGACTTACAGTGTGTCGTCATGCACCATTGTAGGTTGGATCATATAATTACTTCCGAGGAGGTACATTTTTTCGGCATTTTCAATTACATTATGCATCTTTGATGTCTCATTGTTATGTATCATTTTGTGTCTCATGTCATCCGTTTGCGTACTTGGAAGTACATGAAGTGGAGCAGGATTTGTTCCTTAGATGTTTCCTTGGACCAGTGGCGTCACAACATCAGATTAGGCCAAACAACAGCTGAAGAAAGAACACCACTGAAAGCAAAGACCTTTACAACGTATAAAAAAAAAAAAACTTAAGGACTTCTTCTCTACCTCCTCTCCCTCGCTGTGCTAACCTCTCCATTGATCATTGAAGTTTTGTTGCAACCTTGGTCCTGCAGCTTTTTCAGGACCCTGGTTGTGTAGATGTGCTGAGGATTCACAAAGAAAAGGCTGAGGGACAGAAAAACAGAGCAAGAGGCCAGAAGAATTAATGCGAAAAACGAAGTGACTCAAGGCTGCGTGTTCATTGTGCAGAAACAGACGGGGTCACGCTCAGCAGATCAGCTGTTACCACGTTAGCCCTGTCCTCGTCTATGGACTATCCCCTTGTTCCTTATACATGGGTAAAAGCAAGCAGAGATGCAATACTGGGTCTTCTTGGAACTGATCATGTTTTTTATGACTTGAATTCCTACAATGGCAAAGGTGTGGTGTAAGGAAATAAATGTGTGCACGTTGTTTACCGGCTACATGACCTCCTGTGTCCTTGCCCCCGAGATTAATTATCTGTCTCTTTAACACTCCACCCTATTCACCTCTTATAAGTGTATTGTCGTGTGCACAAAAGGGTTAAACAGAGCAAAGTCAGACGAAAAAGTATTCATCTGGCTTTTATGATCAAAAACAGCATAATTTAAATGTTGGTTTCCCTGACAACATTAAGCCTATAACCAAGGTCGTGATCCTGTATCCGCTCAAGAAGAAGATAGTGGAGTTGCTCTGCATGTGAAATCGACATCAGCCGCACTATTTCAGTCACAAGTGGACGGTAAAGCGCTGAACGCTGAATCAGACTCACTATTGTTAGAACGTTTGGTTTCACTTTTAAATGATTTTTCTGCTTCGTACAAGTGAGAAATGTAAAAACTTAAATTTGAATCCACTGCTTATGAACGGTTGAAAGCAATATTGTTAGATAATTCTACTTGTTTCATGTTCAGGAGTACAGTAATGCATAACAAGTCCACATTTTGTTTTTATTAAACGATAGGCCTTGAATGCCGTGTTGATGATTAAACGACTCCTTCACACCTCAACCTGCTGCCCCTCATGATCAGTTTTGCCATTTTATCGCTCATTTGTTAATGAGCATCACAACAGCTAATGGGTGCAACACAACCCTGCGCATGCAACAAGACACCGAACAGAATAATAACCTGAGAATATTTGTGTTTATCTAAAATGCTAATCCTGTTATGCTCATTTGTAGTTTTTAAATTATGCCAGGAGGATAATTTGTGTGACCCTTGGAGGTTGTCATGATGCTCGCTTCATGTTTCCTCCAGTCGGTAATGGAGTCACATCAGTTCAGCTGTGGTGTTTCTGTGAGGATTGGAAAGTTCTCCCTGTGTCTTTGTTTTCTCTCAGAACTCCTGCTTCTTGCCACAGTCCAAAGACCGGCCGCGGTTAGTTTCATTAGAGAATCTAAATTGACCATAGGTGTTGTTGTGAGCGTCTGTGGTTGTTTGTCTCTGTATGTTTGACCCAGTGACGAGCGGGCGATCTGTCCAGGGTGCACTCTGGGATTGGGTCAGCTGGGATTGGCTTGAGCTCTGTCTGCGATGAACCTGCCTGTTTGGAATGGCCTGTTTGCTTCGCCTGTGGTGATGCTGTTTGCTACTCTTCTTTCTGAAACTGTTAAAGTGACCTGCAGTAAATGAGCCAGGGGAGGTCAAATCCAGCTGCCAGACTCAATCCACAGAACCCTGAAGCTGAAATGGCAAATCAGTCGTCGTGAACGTGGTGTTGTCACGATCGACAACCTCATTCACGTTGATGAGCGCCTCTCTCCTGCTTAAACTTATATCAAAGTTTGTATCACGTATCCAATTCACACCAAAATCTACTCTGCACTTCCTTGGACCTTTAACAATACACAGACCAAGTGTAAGATATTAAGGCTAAATTGCATTTTGTTTTCATGAGGATTTATAATGACATCTTGAGAATCATTGCAGAATCGTTTTACTCCCTCATATCGGTATCAGCATCAACCCCCCAAAAAATCGATATCGATCAGGCTCAGGTCAGGAAGTCTGTCACAAACAGGGTTGAGCAGGAACTTTGGTTTAATAGCTGAACTGTCCCTGATCATCATGGAACCACTTGTACTCAATCAGTGCACTTGTTGCATTCAATTACAGTTAAACTCTAATTGGCGCGGTGTTACTTTACTCACATTATTCAGAGGTAATTTGTGCTCTGCTGTTTTCTTGTGTACATTAGTATGATGGCACACTTCTCATGCAGAGACACATCTTTCCGCGACCTCTGCGCTCGACGGTGCCCCACGGACGCGCGTGCGTATGGGGAGAAGAATGGTACGTCACTGACGTCAGTCCCCGGGTGTCGGTGGCTTTTGTCCGGTCCGTGTCTTATAAGTGAGGAACCGACCGAGCCGTCAGTCAGTCACACATCCACCCAGGCGGAGGACACTACAACGGTGCGCGGCGCTCATCCAACCAACCAGCAGAGATGCCTCACTCCATGTTCCCGCTGTGCGTCCTGGGATTCCTCGCCCTCTCCTCCGCCTGCTACATCCAGAACTGTCCCCGGGGGGGGAAGCGAGCGCTGCCGGACACCGGCATCAGACAGGTGAGAGGACCACACTCCGTTCTTCCTGCTGTCCATCCTCTCTTTTAATTTTCTCATTCCTTGCAGAGGAAATCTCTTAAACTGCATTCGAGTCTTTTTCAATTGTGTATAAAGTAGTTAAAGATGTAAAATAAGGAAAGTGTAAAATGAGAGAAATTTAATGCAAAATGGTGAAAGATGAATTGTCATATAATTGGTTTGGTATATGGAGCTCAGATGTGAAAACCCTGCTTTTTATCTGCTAAAAAATAAACTGGTAAGGACCACAATGAAAGTTAATTTATGAGCAATAACAAAATTAAAACAAGTTATAGTAAATAATATAATAATCATTGTAATAATACATAACACATTTGTAAAAAGTAATACATTTACAATTTCTGTGTCTAAATGTTAAGGCTCTCCCAGGAGAAAAAAACACTCCAGCAAATTAAAAAGTGTAAAATTTGAACATATTTACCTCAAAATGTGTCATAAACTTCTGTATTAGAGTTCATTAGAGAAATAAAAACTGTAGCCTGCAATTTGATGCATTTTTCTCGAAGAGAGGCAAGTGATGAATAGTTGAGATAAATAAGGTGAAACACTATTTAAGAATTATACATCAATGTTGATTAAATATGACAGGGAAGACATGGTGTCCTTTATGGTCAGTAGAATACATTATCAGAATTAATGTCAACATAAATAATTGATTGGTTCAATACAACCTGATTAATACTTAGATTTTCCCTATTCTCCTCCAGTGCATGTCCTGTGGCCCCGGAGACAGGGGCCGCTGCTTCGGCCCCAGTATCTGCTGCGGGGAGGGTCTGGGCTGCCTGCTGGGCTCCCCAGAGACAGCTCACTGTGTGGAGGAGAACTACCTGCTCACCCCCTGCCAGGCAGGAGGGAGACCCTGTGGATCTGAGGGAGGACACTGTGCAGCTTCAGGACTCTGCTGTAACTCAGGTACAGTCTCATCTGATCGTTTGTCGTGTGTAGTGGAGTCAGTAGTGTCAATAAAGTTTCCTTTTCCTTTCCTCCCCTTTAATGTCCTCCTCTCCTCCTCCTCCTCCTCAGAGAGCTGTGCAGTTGACTCTGACTGCCTGGCAGAGACCGAGGCCTCAGATCCGGGCCACGGCGCCGCAGGGAGCTTCCCGGCAGAGCTGCTGCTCCGCCTGCTGCATGTGACGGCCAGAGGACAGACCGAGTACTGATCCTGAATCTGTGGAGGATCCTCTGCTCCTCAGGGACAAATCATCTCTGTTTCACTATAAACCTTGAGACTCAAACCTTGAACCAATAAAACACCAAGTCAAACTTTGTTCTCTTAACACCTTCTGCTCTGTTCATTTAGAATCTGTAAAGACGCTTTATGATCACAGAGAACTCTCTTCAACTTGTTTACTGATTGGCTTCTTCTATCCAGATCCTGGGGTCGAGGAATCATGTTCTCATGTTCTCATGTTTGTTCCCAGCTTATAAATGTAAATACTGATGCACATACTGTAAACAAAGTATAATCTATCTGTGACCTCTGAGCTCCAGTTCAAATGAGTAAGTTATAGCAGAAAACTGTAAATAAGTCAGAGGCCGGAGATGGAATTGCAGCAGACGCCCACATGTGTAGCAGGTGAATGACGATGCTGAGCAGTTAATTCATATGGTAGAAATAGTGATTGTTGGAAATGGGAGAAACAATACAGACTGTATCATCATCATCTGTTGTCTGTTGTTATTATCCTCAGATGTGTGTGTGTGTGTGTGTGTGTGTGTGTGTGTGTGTGTGTGTGTGAGACTGACAGTGGAAGGAATATATTGTTGCCCATTATAGAAAACTTCTTCTGATGAATCATCCACGATTGTAGTTTCATCTGTTTTGATCGGTTATAGTTTGAGTGTCACAAATTAATAGAAAACTAAATATAAAGGTTCTATATGTACATTTTTACTATCGCTACGGAGCACACATCAGTATAAACGACTGTTGGCTCCCGGTGTAGACAGTGGATGTACAGGGCCAAGTCTTCTGTTTGCTGTACGGCCCCTCGAGTCCACGCGAGTTGAACATTTCTCAACACAAATAGTGCAACATTTTACAGTTGATTTAGGTCCAGACGACATTTTGGCTAAACTCTTTTAACTGCTATCTGTACATGGATGCAGATAAATTAAAAAGCCAGATTTGTTCCGCCTCTATTGCACACCATACAGACTTGTCCCAAAGGCTGCTCAAACGGGATTGGTCAAACTAGAAACAGAAACTTTCGGTTCCCAAAATTTTGTCCCTTGCCGACAGATTCCCTGTAATGACAGGCAGAATCTGGTCATAGAGAAATGTTGAGAGTTCAGCATCAAACTTAACTCCTTTACTTGCCAAGAACCGTTTCCAGCCATAGAAAGCAACACAACAACTTCTCTTTCTATTACTTTTTTTATTCCAATGAAGTTAGCATGCTAACCAGTGAGTCCAAACATGACGGGCCAATTGGGAACGTATGTTTCTATAGCGTCCTGTCTGCCCTGAAGAAATAGCACCTCTTCGATGTCATAGTTTATCCTCTTGTCTTGTAAACTCAACAATGGCTGAATGTCTTCACCAAGCAACCATCACCTCGACCATCCCAATAACAAACCGTGTTCTGCAAAGGCGGAGCTTACAAATACCACCTTAAATATTAATACTGATGTGCAGAACGAGGGTCTTGGATCGTCTTCACTTTGAGAGGAACACATATGGGCTGTTTTAAATCATCGGTTGTTGCAATGATAAATTGTGCCACCCTTTTTTTTATCTAGCACTCAGCGTTGCCTGTCGTGTATCAACATGCCTGCGTAAATTAAGGAAAGGGAATTCCAGTCATCGTTATTCTTTGTGTGCCGGTTGAAACCTGGTGTTTGTGCCAGAACCGATGTCGATTTGTCTGAACTGTCCTTCAGATTCAGCTGGCACAGGATTCGAGACTTTTTGACAGTTGGCAATTGCATGTTTCGACTGATTTAATAGGTGCGTGACTTCTCGAAGATCTTCATGTTGATGTTGTAAATCGTATTGATGTGTTTAACACGCTTTCACAATCCATCATTGCATCTGGTTTATTTCTTCATTTTAGCCCGTTCCGCTTGACCTCCTGTTAATTCCCCTGCACATTGACATAGCCGCACAATAGGGTGAGGCCTTCAGCTCTTTGTGTGTGTTTGTGTGTGTGTGTGTGTGTGGGTGGGTATATGTGTGTGTGCGCAAAATAACTCGACAATGTATGGACAGATTCAAAGTACACTTGGTGGAAATATTACTGAGGAGGGCGTCTCCAAATGATTCACTTTTGGAGCTGATTGGTCAAAGATCAACAAAACTATGTCCAAAGAACATTAACATATCTCTGCAAATAATGAGGCTGTAGAGAAAATCTAAAGCTCATATTGATCAGATCATTATTTTTAAGACTCTAAGCTTATCATAAAAATAAGGATCATATGGTAGGAATGATGTCATCGTGATGGCAATCAATAACTTTACAGGGACAATCTGACTTTATGAGAAGAGACACAATAATATTCATGCTTGAGGATGAATCCTATATAATGACTGCGGTCACCTCGACCTGAGCTGAACTACTGGATGGACTGCCATGAAATTCTATTCACAGATCTAGTTCCAGGAGAATGTAACCTACAGACTTTGGTGATCTTCTCGTGCAAATGTGAATTGTTTGTTGAGGTTTGTTGCACACATTAGTGCTCCCCTCAGGATGAAACATAGATAACTCTAGTCCCTTAACTTCTAACATATAGCACCACCTTCAAGGCCAGATTTGAATTTGTCCATTGCTTTGGTGTACTTATCTTCTCTTCTCTTTTCTTCTTCCAAACTTTATCCCACATTAAAACCTTTAAGCTGTAAGTAGTTTTGAAAAATCATCCACTGTGGTCAAGTCAGGTCATAGTGGTTTATTATAGAGACCAAAACAAATGCTTCAGACTTAATTTTCAAACTTGTAGAACATGCTGTGAACTGCAGGATTTACCTGATGGTAAAGGTTGCATGTTAACAATGTAAAGCCAGACATCAGTCAGAGACTCTCTGTCTTTATGTGACAGCTCTTCCCGCTACAGCACTTTCCCAGCTCCAAAATAAACATGTCAGTTTGGCCTTCGTCGTAGATTTCCTCTACAAGAATTTGGGAGGATAGATGTCAGATTTCCTTTTTTGTTTTATTGGGCTCAAAGTTTAGGGTCTTCCACTAATTATGCAACTCATTTGTTTGATTTCTGTAGATATAAAATGTTATATGATATTTCACGCTAATGTTTGACCGAGCTGCAGCACCTGCATCACTTTGCTTCAGCTGTCACTTAACGCTGGTAAAGTTTAACATAATCTTCAGGGTGTTTACTGTAAATGTGACTAATTGTTAATCCTGCTTTTTGTGAGTCGGGGTGTGGAATCATCTGCACTCTCCTTCAGTATCCATCAATCAAATCAAACACTGGGAAAACGTATTGAACCTGTCAGAACCTGTCTGAGTGGCGCAACACACTCACCATGTATCAAAGCTTCGAACAAACAGATTTTACAGGAGAAAGTGAAAGTAACATTGTTGTGTGTGTGTGTGTGTGTGTGCATGCACGCACATGTGCATGTGTGTTGCCAGTATTTAAGCATCCAGCCCAGATCTCCTCTGCTCATTTGCCGTCATGGATCTGAAAGTCGCCTTTGTGGTGGTTTGCCTGTTTGCTTTGACCATCACCTGCACTGAAGGTAAGGACTCCACTAACTTTACAAATGCGCCTCTTAAAACCAAGATTTATCTGTTCAAGCCATGTACCTTGCTTTTAAATTAAAAATGTTAAATTAATCTATATTTAAATATATTCAGTTATTTCGATTTTTTTGTCAAGAAAAGTGTAAATATATGAATTTTGGTGCAAAACAAATAAAAATGTAACATACTGTTCTTTTTATTTATGTACTCTTATTATAATTATTAATAGTATTTACCTCATAAAAAGAGTAATCGGCTGTAATTGTTTTGTGCGAACCTACATGCTTGGGGAATAGGGAAAATCTTTTGGGAGATTGCACAGCACTGATACCATTAAGACACAAGTATGATTTGTTTGTTTGTGTATAAAGGTTTATACACATTAGATTTTTTTTCCTCACTGTGGCTCTTTATCTCACATCGTAGCTGCCATCCCAAAATGCTGCATGAAAACAATAAAGCACTTGGACACAAGGTGGCTGATGAAGGTGGAGAAGTGGTACATTCAGCAGAGCAGCGGAGCCTGTGACATCTCTGCACTGATGTAAGAGCAACAATGAGCCGCAGCCATTTGCTTCATTGTGATTATTCATTCATATCAGCATTCATACGTTTCTGATCTTGGTCAAGATCTTGTCATGACCAAGAAATAAACTACAGAGGAACCAGATGAGCTAATAACCTGAACTTTGAGTTACACGTGCCTGCTTTTATATGTTCATTATCATCTTTAACTGAAACTTCATTGTGGCTCCACAGAATTTTCGTGAAGGGCCGAGCGAAGCCCATATGTGCTCCTCTCAAAATGATCTCCCTGGACAATCTTCAGAAGATAGCAAAGAGACGCAATCTGAAAGCAGCTTTCTGACTTTTGGAATGAAAAACCTCATCATGTTTTCTAACTCTGCTGTTTTCAAGTTCTTATAGCAGTTCATCAATTATGCGGAGGGTCCTATACTAAACTGTTTCTGAATTGAATCTGTATTTTGTAATAAGAAGTGCTGTCCTGTAAACTGAGATGTGGAGACTGCTGTCATGACACATCTGTACAAACACTACAAGTAAAATAAGAGCAAGACACATATGATTAAAGTTTGTGAGGGGTACTAAACACAGTCTGTTTTGAGTGTCTCTTCCATGTTTTTTAAATAAACAAATGAAAAATGTCTTTGTCTGTGTCAAGCCTTTAATTTGTGTAGAATGTTGTGATATCTAGTGTTGAAGTTGCATGTTGCAGCTGAACATCTCTCACCTCACACTCTCCTTCCAAACATGAAACAGAACCTGTGGTAGCTTCAGTGGTCATAAAAACTCAAAAGGTGTTTAGTTTGTCCAGTCTGGACGACAGCAAAAAAAACATGGCGGCCACAGAGAGGACCTCTTGATGTAAATATAAAGTATTTAAATATAAAAGGGCCTTTTCTGGGGTAAGGAAAACTACAATTCATACAATTTAGATTAAACGAACTGGTGAAAACATCATGAAGATTATTCTACATTAAATTTCTGACAATAGTTCCCTTTCACCTAAATCTTACACACTGGACCTTTAAAAAAGAGTTTTACACCTGGTGTCGAGCATTGTGAAGCAGAGAGAAGCAACATTTAACTCATCTAAGACAAGAAGAAAATGAGCAGCTGTCACAAATGTGAGCATAAGAAGTTAAAACAGGGGCTTTCTGCTGGCGTTGTTTACTCAGGCAGCGTCTGGTTCGCAGGTTAAAGTCATGACCGATTAGACAGTTGCTTTTGAGAAAAAACAACTCATACAGAAACTTTAAACTTGGATGTCATCTTATCAAAATCCAAAAGTGTGAATGATAAAGTAAATTATATGTTGATGACAAAATAAATATTGTTATTCACTGGTCTCCTTTCACAATCTGATATCAAACTATTATTCAGGCAAAGACCAGAGGCATCAGGCTGACAGGATAATGGATCTTATTAAAACAGAGGAAAATCCCCCTCAGCAAATGTCATAAACCTTATGAGTCAGTCAAACTCTGAAGGATCTCCAGCTGGAGCAGAAACAAAAGACTTTAAATCCACAGAGCGTTCATCGGTGAGCTCTCCTCTTTGATCAAGTTTAGTTCCCTCATCAGAGGCCTGAGGTCACATCCATTCACAAAGAAATACATTTTATCTCCATGATATCAGCAGCGGTGTGAGATAAGATTTAGAGAAAACAAACAAGATGGTGTGAGAGCTGAGTTGCCTGGAGGCGTCATCTCTGTTGAAATCACTATGATTTCCAACTCTAATTGCAATTCAACAGCGCCCTCTAGTGGAAAAACTGACAGCAGAAACACACAGAAACTATAACTCAACACTAGTGTAAACATCCATAAAGATATGAATCATTTCACAACGTTTCGACGAAAGACAGATTCAGTAAAGCATTTTTTATCATCAGCAAACTGGTGTTAACAGAGTGAAACCTGTCTGTATGATGTTTTCCAGCTGAGCCATCGCTGTGGATATCAGCTGGTGGGGGGGGGGCTCCTCTCGGCCCAGGCCCTGAGATCATCGCCTGCTTTTCCTACGCTGTTGCAACAACCCTGAGTTAATGTACACATCACATAAGCTTGAGCACAAAGGTGAGGCAAATGTATTTGTATAGCGCTTCTCAACAGTGAGGCAATTCAACGTGCTTCCCAGTAAAGTCCTCAAGACAAACTGTGCAAACAGGAAAGAAGCATTTATGAATCAAATAGTTACACAGAGAGTTTAAACACATGAAAGAATACGAGTTAAAGTAACAATGCAGTGGAAGAAAGGAGTCGTTATTTGATTTGTTAAACAGAAAAGTCTTCAGCATTGAGTCCAGGAGCCTCTTTCTCCCTGTTGAGATGATACCAGGCCACTATATATAAGTATTATTACTGCATAAAACTATTTAACATTTGTCATATAGGCCTTTTATCTGTAATACGGTATTGCACTTAATGGTATTATAACAGATCCAACATTGAAATTCTGCAAAATCCATTCAAAATAAATATCCTTATATCTAAAATAAAAGGCCTGAATAAAAACAGTTTGTAGTAAGGTATTGTACATAATGGAAACTATAACTCATACAGCTTCTCTAAAACACATTCCAAATAAATATCCATACAGCTAAAAATAAAAGTGATTAAAACAAGAAAGTGCACACGATGGTGAATATAACAAATCCAACATTAAGGTTCTGCAAAACACATTTCAAATACAAATTTAAATATATCTCAAATGAAAAACCTGTATTCAAAATGTTTATAATAAAGTAACCTTCAAATGTCTTATTACCAACTTATTTATTTTTAAATACAAATCACATTTAACTTCCCTCCCAAGAGAATACAAGCTTTCATTATTTTCTATAGTAAAGTACTTTGTTTTCTTCAGTTTACATAAAAGAAGAAATGATATCTCCCACTGAGAGGAACTCGTAATCGCGGGAGCACCTCCCACGTGAGTCCAGTTCCTCTGCGGACGTTCAAGACGTTGACAGGAAACCAACTGCACCGCAGCAGATCCCGGGATCACTCCGCCGCGGGAACAAGTGCGCAGCCGTCATTAAACTCTGTTTATTTCCCAGACTCTGGACTCTGGTTGAGCCACGATGCCCGACACAACTCCTCCAGACTCCGGGGAGCACTCCGCGCTGCTCCGCTTCTCCTCCGCGCTGTTTTACGCCGGCAGCTCGTTCCTGATCACGGTGGTGAATAAAACCGTGTTGACCAGCTACAGGTAGGTGGCGCTCTTGTGTCCCCCCCCCCCCCTTCCTGTCCCTTTCAATCAATGAATGAATGAGTGAGTGAGTGAGTGATGCCCCCCCTCCTCTCGTGTGTTTTCAGGTTTCCCTCCTACACGTTCCTGGGAATAGGTCAGGTGAGTTCCCTGGGTGTGTCCTGTTCCTTTTTTTTTGTTTGTCACACAACACATCTCACTCGTGTGTCACTTTCAGATGGTCACCACAGTTGTTGTCATTTACGCTGCCAAAAAGAGCAAAACAGTCCAGTTCCAAGACTTTGACAAAAGTATTTTCATCAAAGTAAGAGTTCAGAACATGACTCATCGACATCATTCATCCTTATTGTCATGTCATCTGTTTTTTTGATTTGCAATATCATACATACATATATAAATATAAATATAGGCCTTTGTTAAATTTCTCTCCAGATCTTCCCTCTTCCTCTGCTCTACGTTGGGAATCAAATCACAGGACTGGCCAGCACTAAAAAACTCAGGTTTGACCAGTTGGCTTTTATTATGGTAGATCTGATTTTTAGTTTCTTATAGTGTGAACTCCTAACAAAAATCTGTTCTTTCACAGTTTGCCCATGTTCACTGTGTTACGGAAATTCACCATATTGATGACAATGATCTTGGAAGTGTATATACTAAGGTAACACTTATTTTCATTGCAGTTGAAGCGTTGATAGATTTGTTTAGATTTGCATTGGTACAGGAGAGTAAAGTTAGATTCTGATGAAGGGAAGGAGGAGGATGAAAAATGCAGAGAAACAGGTTTTAATAAAGTGTAGGGTGACAAATGCTAAGAGGCCCACAAAACACCAACACTGACAAATTACAAAACATAACAACAAATCACATCGTAAAATTAGAAAACACTACAAAACATCGCAAACACTACGATAGATTATAAAACACAACAAAGTACCATAAACAATTACAAAATAACATTGTCTTCCTTTAGAAAAGATGGACAGTGTGTTGATAGGTACCTTTCTTATCTGCTGTTGTGTTTGATTTGTTATTGTGTTTTCTTGTTCTTGTTGTGTTTTCTTATTTGTTGTGGTTTATAATTTGCACTTCAGAACCACCATGAAGCGCTGATAAGTGTCCTTCAGTACTTTGACAGGTGCCTATTGACCAATCACTGAAGGGGTCTACAGGGCTGAAGGGGTCTGGGGGTCCAGCTTCACAACTTTAACAACAAACTGACACATCTCTTTATCTGTGTTTTAATGTGGAATGTGTTTTTCATGTCTCTGCCAAGGGGTCGATCTTCTTGTATCACATTCATGCACATGTCTCCACTCTCCCTTTTGTTTTCCAGAAAAACGTTTCCCAGACGCCTTGTTTACAGTGTTGTGACCATAGTTGTTGGTGCCATGATTGCTGCGAGGTACGGATGTTTTAGTTGGACTTGTTGCTGAAGAACTGAACTGAGTGCGTACACAAGCTTATAGCTCTCCCTCTCCTCTAGCTCCGACCTGGCCTTCGATATGAGGGCCTACACTTTCATCCTGCTCAACGATGTCTTCACCGCCGGCAGCAGTGTGTACACCAAGCAGAAACTTGGCGTGGAGGTAAACCATCTGTAGAAATACAAGTTAAATGTCAGTTTAGATGGTGTTGATTACTTTATTGACAAAGATGTCAAAGCAGGTTAAACTTGTTTTGTGGGTTAGATGTATTTGAGTGTGCATATCATACTGTTTATAATATCAAACATTATCTCAGACCAGTGTTTACCAACCTTTTAAAGCACAAGATCACTTTTTAATTCTAAACGTAATCTTCCACCGCGATCTTCCACCTTGATATGTTGCAAAAAACCCACTTATGAGGGTCATATTTATTATTTTGTCAATTTCTGTTAAATATACCCAAAGAAAGGCAGTTATGCTGCTTTATCTATTCAATGCACAATATTAACAATATTAATATCAATTCATATTTACAGCATCTGTTCAATACCCAATATTTAGCTTCTCAGTTCAACAATATGTTTCACAAAGGAGGAGCTTTTTTAGGATTATGGCCATAAATATGACTATTGTCCTGTGTACTCAAATAAATACTAGTACTATACAGTATGAAGCAATGCATCTTCTGCTCCTGAAAATATTTCACAATGAAAAACCCTTTTTAAACAAAAGAATGGATTTGGTCAATAGAAACTCTGGAGTGCTGTCAAGTCACACACTTCCTGAACCCGTTTCAAAGTAAAAGCACTGCACGGCGCAACCGCAGTCTTTGAGTCCAAAGAGTTACAGAGATCGACCGGTAGATCGTGATTGACCGGTTTGCGATTACTGTCTTAAACAATCAGATGACACTTTTAACTGGGTGACATAACGTGATGGCTTTGATTTTCTTTTGATCTCTTTAAGGAAACAGGCTCCTGAACACACCAGAATCTTTACAGCAGCAGGCGTTCATATCTGGGATATTTTGGCTTCATTTTTGAAAAAAGATTATTCATCTCACTGGCTAATCACAATCAAGTTGGTTAAAGTGCATGAACTAACCCTCAGTGATTTTGGTCACATTATAAATGATACTTTCCTCTTTTTTATTATTAAGGGTCTCGGGAAATATGGTGTCTTATTTTACAATGCGCTCATCATAGCTATCCCCACGCTCCTGGCCAGTGCATTGACTGGAGATTTACAGAAGGTACATTTACTATCTAATCCAACATATTCTCTCTGGGTGTTGGTGCTTTTCCTGTTTGTCTGACTTGAAATGTTTTGATCCTCAGGCCGTCACATTTGAGGGCTGGTTTGAAACCACATTTATCTTTTGTTTCTTCTTGTCCTGCATCATGGGGTAGGTCACTATATTCCAGTGCAAACTCCTACAACAAACTAATATTCATACAAGATCATTCTCACTTACATTACTGCCTCAGCCGACCCAGTTTCCTATAACTCACCTCTCTTTTTTTCAGGTTTGTGCTGATGTATTCCATCATCCTGTGCAGCTATTATAACTCTGCACTTACTACCTCCGTCGTTGGAGCAGTAAAGGTGAGAACACACCCATTAATTGATTGATTTTTTTGAACTTTTACTTTACTTCTTTTAACTTTTTTTAGTTTTCCATTTTCAAACTATATGAAAATGTAATCAATCTATTGTCACATTTCACCCGTCCAGAATGTCGCAGTAGCCTACATTGGCATATTTGTGGGTGGAGACTACCTCTTCTCTTGGACCAACTTCATAGGCCTCAGCATTTGGTAAAAACCTTTCTCCAGTTTCATTATTGTTTTTACTTTTTTAATATGATTTATTATAATTGGACACATTTTGTTAAATATCATTGTTACATGTTGTTTTTACAGAATGGTTGATGTGACCAAACAAATAATATATCCAGCTACTACTTTACTTAAAACATTTATAGTTCTTGTTTCGTCAGAGCAGCACTGTGAGACTTTGTCCAATCCAGGCTCAGATATATAATTTATGTTTTAAAGATGACTTGAAGTCAAATGTGCCTGTTGTTTATGTTATAACAGGAAATTTTGAGCTAAATATTTTCAAAAGTGTCCTGATGCACCATGTGATGTTCCATGGCCCAACGTTTCATTCCATTATCTCGTGTTTTGCAGTATGTCAGGTGGACTTGCGTACTCTTATATCACCTTTAGCACCAAATCGTCTCAAGTGGCAACAGAAGAGTGGAAGACTGACATTACACAAGATCCAACCGGGAGGAAAGTTACCATCTAAATGAACAAAGTTTTAGCTTCCACCACCATTCACTGCATTGTTCTGCTTCATATTGGAGCATAATGTTGCTGCCACACTTTTATCAACCTTCCCAATGGAGTTTTATTGTAATCATGATTATTTATCCACTGTATTGCACGTTAAGTAAATGGTAAAGGGTTTGTATTTATATAGCGCTTTTCTAGTCTTGATGACCACTCGGAGAGCTTTACAGTGCAGTTTGCCATTCACCCATTCACCCATTCACACACACATTCATACAGTCCATCTATAAGCAGCACTTTTTTTTAGTCTGAGGGGCAGTTCAGCATCTCAGCCAGTTTGGATGGGCTGAGATCTGATTCAAGGGTGGATTAAGGATTTTTATTTATTTTTCAATTTTCTTAACATTGCAACACCAGGCATTTTTCAATATTTTCATCAATTTCCAAGGAAATTATGTACAAAAAAGAATTTTATATGATTATATGTTTTTTCAGTCGGTGCAGATTATCAGACTACTTCATGTTCCGTTGTTTTATTGTTTTTTATTCTTATTTGTAAAGCACTTTGAAATGTGCTTGATAAATAGTTTATTTTATTTTTTTCTAAATATATTATGAGAACTTGACAGACACATATGACAGTTTGGCCGCGGAGATCACATCTCTCAGGGCAGCTCAAGTTTTTATATTCATTTAAGCAAAATAAATTAATTTATTTGGATACTTGACTCCTGTTCTCTATTTGGTTCCACTAATCAAACATGGACAAACTGACATGAAGGGCATCGAATCTCTGGGTCAACTTCAATGAATGTTTATTGAAAACCAACAATTTATAGAACAATGAGGACAGTCAGAGAAATCTGTGTAAAATATCTACCAAGCGAAGCAGGATCACTCTATACATGTCACAAACATGAAAACTGTCGGGAGGATGTTAGCGGAAACTAAGAGTTCAACTTCAAAGCTCTCTGTAAATTGTGCACACTCAATATTCTAACAAACACATCGTGTATATATTAAATGCCATAATCTTCTCAAACCATAAAATAGACTAAGGGTTAGCAATGCTTCAAAATATACTATGACTGGGTACAATAAATCATTTGGCGTTTTGATTATCAACAATTTACAAATTTGCTTTCCAGTTTCACTGTAACTCCACGAGGGGCTTTTTTTTTTTATTTGAAAAACTGATTCAAACATAACAGCTAGTGACAGGTTTCCTCCAAACAACCAGCGGTGGGGCAGTAATGAGAGGCATCATACAGTGTTGAAGGATGTAGTGTTGCATTAGTAGACAAAAAGAAAAAAAACAGCACTACATGAATCAGTTCATGAAAAAGCAGACGCCACTTTCCTGGACACGTACAACAGATCTAATCTTCAGTGCATTGCAAGCTTAATCCAAGACTAAGTAGTCACTGTAAGTGCTTCATCAATAAAAAATAATCAGTGTAAACTCTGAATGTACTTGATTGGGACGTTTTGGTGAAGTTGGAATATTTTCCCTTTATGCATCGAATGATTCTAGAGTGATCTTGAACATATGAACAAAATGTTAGCCATAAAAAGAAAATATATATATACGGTCAAATAAATACCTCATAATTTAAACTTTGAAATGAGATGACATGGGTTCACCGAACACTTCCATGATTCTGAATCATAATTGATTTGCCACCTTTTAATATAAAAAGTGACATCCATTTTTTAACATCTGCTGTCTGGTTGGAAAACGACTTTTGTCCTCTTGCAGGTTTTTACGCAAACATTCCTTGTATCTGTGAGGAAACGGTTGTTAAAATGTAAATAAGGCTTGTTCATACAGGTAACACTTTTTGTGGAATAATAATCAGCTCAATCCAGAAGGTAGTAAGTAGGTAGTTGGATTTTTCCTGCTGTTGTCAGGCAGAAATATTTAAGTGTAAATACTAAGTCATGTGACAAAGCTGTAAAAGTTTGAATTGTTGCCTGAGCAGACCGGTGGATTAGGCTTGCAATGATCACCTCTCATTCGCATATAAAAAATGACCACATCGCATGTCAGGACCGTTGACTTTACAAAGATGGACGACATGACCGCTCCCCAAAAGTGAAGCCAAATCTTACTAAAGTCCCCCACAGTGCTACTAAATGCACAGAGGACATAAACCCAATCTATTCTTGTTTTCTCAAAGATGATTCGTCATTTTAGGTAGTTTTTAATCGCATTGATGATTGTTCAAGTGCTTTTGGGATCACTGTGCAGACTCTGGCTACAAATAATGTGGAAAAAAACAAGATGGTGGCACCTGTATCCAGGATAGTTTGGCTTCATTTTTGTTAAGTGGGAAGAAGTGAGGACCTGTCGTCCATCTTTTAGGGCACGGTTGCACATACGCGAATTTGAAGCGAATATCGCAGGTCAAAGTTAACCAAAGTTAAAATGTGGAGCCACGCTGCGATGTGCCTCAGCACAGCAGACAAATGTTTAATTCACACCCTGCTCCAACAGATTGGAAGTGAACAGGTGAGGCGAAACATTCGCTGATGCGTGACCAGGCCCTCATACAATCCTTGGTCAGGACTGATCTCACTCCACTGACATATTCTTAATCTCCTTTTCTCAGCCTTTGCTCACCACATTTTTAGAGAGTAAATGAACCAGTGAGGCTAAAACGATCTGAACTTCTACTTACGAAACCTGGGAGCATGGCGAGAGGTTGTCAGAATGCAACTTTAACATGATCCTATGTTTGACCACACCCTGTATTCTTCTGTCTGTCTGAGCTTACTCCTTATATACATCAGTCATACACACTCTCTTACACTCACAATATACTTAAAAAACTCGTTACCATCAAAGTGCAAACAAAACAAATTAAAAAGATAACAGTTCTCTTTCTTTGCCTGTAGAAGACAAGAAGAAAGAAAGACATTCTTCATATAGTCAAATCTACAATTATAGCAGCCTAAAAGAATAAAATGTAAGATGAATAAGGTGCTTTAGCTTGTGCCTTCCTGGTGCTGTGAGGGGGGGGGGGGTTACATGATGCTGTGCATAAAACTGATCTCAGGCTAACTCTGTCTCCAAGTCTGGTTTCACCTCTTGATAGAACTAAACTAGTCTTTGATCTGCGTTTATGAACGATTTCTTTTTTTAGCTACAGCACGCTTTGTAGGAAGACGGGTTGGGAATGGAGATACGAGGGCAAGGGGAGTCCAGAATCAGGAGGTGGGCGGGTGTTCAGGGAGACATGTTGTTGGCCAGCTCGATGAGTGCCAGAGCGCCGTGGAGACGTTCCCGTTGCTCCCGTTGCTCCTGGATACGGCGCTTGGTGGCTCCACCCTGGCTCCCCTTTTCCTCCTCCGCAGCCTCTTCCTCTTCCCCGTTCTCTTCATCCGACTGGAGATACTCCATAGGATCCTGCTGCTCCTGGTCCTCCGCCATCGCCTCGCCCTGTGACTTCACCTTGGTGGTCGTCGGGGCACGCTGCTCGCGGGTTCGCCAGTACCTACGCAGGACGGAGATGATTAACTTAACATATAAATAACATGAAGTGCTTCCTGAAACTGTGGCTCAGTTCACCTGTGAACAGTGTACGCAGACCTTTGTAATCACTTACTTTGCCAGCCACTCGGCCACAGCCTTGTTATCCACAGACTGGGCCTTCCCCTGACCCTCCTTTGGCTCCTCCCTCTTCAGACGGGAGAACGGATGCTTGGGGCAGTGACGGTTGGCATGAGTGAACCGATTGGCACATCCTGCGGAGAAAGCAGCAGGTGTGAACAAACGCACTAAGCCATTAAATGATGTAATGTATGACCTATTTGTGGATAACTGCCATCATAACTACACAGTAATATATTAACGTTGTAACAATGAATTGGTATTTTTAAAGAAAAGTGACAACAGTGAATAGGTTGTATTGTTTTTGAGTCTGACAATTCTACTGTTGATTTGCAGCTAGAACAGTTACACTGTTTTTCAGGTACTTTCCAAACTCAGCCAGTTTCAGTTTTAAACAGTCACATTCACTGAGTCATCTTATCATTGGAAAGTACCTGAAAAGTGAAATTTCAAAAGACATTTAAACTTTAAGTAAATAATAGTGCATTTATCTTTTTTTTTTATAAATCTACCTTTCTCTGAGCAGACAAAGGGTTTTTCCCCAGTGTGCAGGCGCTGGTGCGTCTTCAGCTGACCACTCTGGACAAACGCCTTCCCACAGTTTGGGTAGTCACAGAGATAGGGCCTCTCTCCTGGGGGGGGAATGAGGAGATTGTTATGGTAAAAGCACTGTGATGTAAAACAAGTCTGTACACATGCACAAAACATTAAATACGTCAATACTGAAGACAAAAAATTGTATTATGATGACATGCCCCTTCCTGCTCCACATACTACTGTCCCATCTGCTTTGACATTTTACTTTTTACACCCGCGCTCATCATAATAAGCCGACACATGACACCTTTGTCTGTGACGTATATACTGCTGCCTCTGTGTCTCTCTCTCTCACCTGTGTGTGTCCTCTTGTGGGCTTGGAGAGACTTCTCTCTGGGAAACACTCTGTTGCAGATGTTGCAGCGGATGCGGCTGGATGAGGTCTCCCCCTCGTTTATCAGCTCGCGGACGGTGTCAGCTCGTGGGCGACCTCTGCGGATACCATCCTGACCACAAAAATACACACAATGACTTAAAACCCTCACAAACACTTTATTCAAGACAGCAGCAGACCTAGTAGATGACTTAGCAGACTGGCGCTTTTCATACTTATGACTTAATATAATAAAATAAACTTACAGTATGAAATAGGCTCAGAGAGGATGACATGTACTGACACATAATACTACTTGTATTACATATACATGTGGATTCATTCATCCTTTGATTCAATGTGACACAACATCACTCACTGTCTCTTCTATTGTGACACGTGTTACACTGTGGCACGTTTGTTCATTATCATTCATTCACATCCGGTAGTTTTGGCGCGCTGATCCACGTCATGAGCAGCTGCTCCAGAACCAGGAAGTGACTGGGGTTTAAAATCCACCGTGTCACACCCTAATGCGCGGGCGTTTTTTTTAAATGACTCACCAGATCAGCCATATTGAGTCAAAAACAGCTCAGATAGCCTCAACTTACAAAGTGAATCTTCTTTTCTATGATATCAATACAGTGACTGAGGTTTTAAAAGAGCAGCATGCATGCTCTCTCTCTATTTACAGACCGAATGCAAGTATGTTAACGTTGTTAAAAGTTACGACTGTTGTTAAACGTGTGTTACAGTGTTGTCATCCACCTCAAACAATAAGATTGTGACTAAAACCTTCAGGAGCTGCTCAGTCCGGAGCACACTGCTGTCACACCCACAGACTGGACTGAATGGTCGCAACACGCTGAGATCATTTCACATGAGCTCGTTTACCTTGATCTGATCCGGTGATGGAGCTGTGTCCGCCTCCCCGGCTGTCTGGGTGCCGGTGGGGGACGAAGCCCCGCTCACTGATCCCGGGCTCAGGGTCACATTGTGGGCGTTCTCCCCCCACTTCCACGGGTACACCATGAAGTCGCTGAAGCCGGGGCTGGTGGGCGTCATCGCCTCCGCTTTCCTGGGCTTGATCGGGGTGGTCTTGATGACGGACACCAGCACTCGTTTAGGCGAGTCTTCGCAGAAAATAACTTGCTTGTTATCAGCCATCGTGTCGAAATCGCCGAGCTACAGTCGCCCGAAAAAAGCGAATCAGCAAAGAGTCAAAGTTAAAAATGATAATAATCAAAAGGGTAAAAGTGTTAAATATGGCGGCTTCTCAGTCCGGGGTGAAAACGTCCTTCATTTCCGAAGAGGAGTCAAAGAGAAGCCTGTGATCTGCAGATGCTCCTCAGTGGATCCAGAGAGATTCGAACATGACTGGAAGTTTCCTTCATCTGCTCTGAAATGTGCGCCCGCAGCTGCCTGATCCCGCGTTGCAAAAGCGCGCCTGAGCGGCCCGCCGACCAATCAGCTGCGAGGATCCCACCCCGCACGTCTGGAGGCGCGACAAGCCACCAATCACAGCGGCCGTCTTTCCTCCGCTCAGAAAAGACCGAGGAACCAATAGGCGGCGCAGAACTGGTTCCGCGTGCTTGTGATTGGTCGAGACGTTTTGGTCCAATGAGATTTGAACACTCAACGCGCGCTCTCGCAGGTTGACGTGCAGGCCGGCCAATGAGGACACGCGGAGCGCACGTTAACCCGCGGCGGAGCCAATGAGTGCGCAGGGCGGGTGATTTCACACCGCGGATGAGCAGATGGTCCGTTCCCGCGCTGAGGAGTCTGTTTATGTTATTAGATTTTTTTGTGTGCTCAATTTAAAGGGAAAGGAAACAGTGGCTCAGAGGCGCCAAAGTTACGTAATCACCACAGGGAGTAACAATGGACGGTCTGTGTGACTTCCAACAAGAAACAGAAACTGTGGTTGATCGAAAATTATATGTATTGAATTAGTGTAGGACCTCTGATATGTTTATTCCATTCAGTGTTATTTGATTCCTTTATGATTCGAGATCAGAGACACTGGAAATGTGTCAAACAGTGAATACAAGTTCATTTGGAAGTTTTTATAAATTGATGATAAACACAATAAACAAAGCAAACTGGATTTTTATTCACCATTGTAGTTTTAACATCCATAACTTTGAGTTTCACTGTCACAACCACAACAGTTTTTCTCTCCTCAGACTAGGAAGGACTCAAGAAATCAAAAGTAACGGTTTTCAGAAAAAAATTAAAGGGATCTGTTTTCTCATGTGGGCTCCAGAGGGAAATAGATTGCAGAAACACTTTCAAAGGTCAAACAGTAAAATAACTTTCACATTTCATTCATCCTAGCAGAAGCAAAAGGAGCAACTATAACAGGAATATGGCAAAAACATTATGCTGGAGGGGTGGTGCTATGAGAAGTACTCATCAGAGGAAGTATCAGAGGAAAACATGACAACAGGATTAAGAGTGGGACACATTAGATTAGATGAAATATAATTGTATTTGGTAAAATGTCTCTCTTGTCTATCAAACAGATGTCAGTGCTAAAAGTATTCAGAGAGAGAGGGACAGTATAAAGGCAGGGGTGGAAAGAATCAAGTATTAACACATGAGCTCAGTCTTGGACAGTTGGTAGAGTTGTAACAGTGTAGTAGATTTCTTGAGAGGAACTAGATTAGTTATTACAGTTTTTATTTGTCTCCACGAGGTAAATGATTCACGCTCCAGGGTAATGAGATCACTTTGATGTTGGTTCCGACCATTAAAATGAGAACTTAGTGTAATTTAGAATAAACACAATTCCACCCAATCTTTCCTGTATTGCATGTAAATCCATCCAAGCAGTAAATGTTGTGCTCTTACAAACATTTCTAATAAAAGAAAAGTAGTCTATATATGCATGATGTATGATGTCATCTCTTGGCACTTTCTCGTCCAATAGAAAACTGAGCCCATATGAATAAAGTGTGCAGTCATAGTGTCCTGTGAGTTGCTCCGGTTCCTTGCTGCGGTGCAACAGAAGCCTTTCTGTTGGTTTTTCTGTGACCGCCTCATTGCCTATGGTCTGTCTCTCTCTCGCTCTCTCTCGCTCTCACACTAACCTAAAAAAGAAACTCTAGGTAGAGTGAATATTATCTTGTTCTGGTTTAATGTGCTTAAAGAGGTTAGATGGGGGAGGTTATTGATTGTGAAATGGGAATCGTCCAGATCAGTTTTAATGTACTCGTGCCATATTTTATGATGAATAATGAATTACTGTTTACCATATTTACATGTCCTGCTGAATATTATTGACTATTTTGGTTGGCAACACAAAACAGGCCCCCAATGTCCCTTTATATTCAGACAGTAGGTTGGCATTTTCCATGCTGACCACTAGATAGTGCTAAATTGCATTGTGTAAAATATATCCTGACTCATTCAGCAAGTGAAAGTGACTCAGATTAATCAGATCTGAGGTATGTTGATGCAACTTTACACTTAGAATACATACATCTGTGTATGCAAAGCAATTTATATGCATTCATATTATTTTTTAAATATATGTTGGACGTTTAACGTTAAGACCATCTCAGCTGCACATGTGTGTATATGTGCTTTCAATGTACTTCCCACTTTGATTCCATGCTGTGAATTTGACCTGAGACAAATATGGAAAACCCATCTAAGCCAGGAAGGAAACACTATATTGCTAAATAAAGGAAACATTCATCGTTTAGCTTTTGCTGTTGAGTCATGTACATTCAGATTCAGATTGCCTCTATTGTCACTGAACGTGATTCAACGAAATTTGGATTGCTACGCCCCGTGGTACAACATACATACATATCTTATATTTGCATTTGTCCAGTTGTTCTTTTTAAAAAGAGAACCGTGCCAGTCCAAGCTGAACCCAAAGGGCTTTAATTACCTTAAATGTTAGCTAGCTAGCCACCAGATATAAGTACTCACGTAATATTAGCTAATGCTAAATCAGCTAAACCTAAATGAATATATGCATTGGTCCAGATTATGTTTGGATCATAGACTGTAGGTTTCAATAAACTAAACAAATCACAGAATCTGTTCTGCAGCAGCACTTCCTGACTCAGCACAGAATGACGCACCTCCATTGGTCGAGGACTTGAACCAAATCTCCTGTATGGAATCTGATTGGTTAACAGCCTGTTGATGAGCAGGGGGGCGTGGCTCCGCTTGTCCCCACACGTGCAAACATTTTAAATAGAGGACGCTGAGTCTGCTGTGGACCGATCAGTCCGCGGCCCCGCAGAATTCTGGACTTTTCTTCACGCTACTTGTTCACACAGAGAGAAGAGGAGGAAGCGGCTGGAGTGTGGACTCATGTCTTCCTCTCTCCCCGGTGACACTCTGGTTAAAATGCTGCCGGACGCTTACGGGTGCGTGGTGACGAACAGGTTCGGGGAACTCCTGGACGACGACGCGGACCCGTTCGACATGATCAGCGCAGTGGAGAAGGAGGAGGAGAAGAAGAAGAAGAAGAAGAAGCAGCAGCAGCAGCAGCAGCAGGAGGATGAGAGGAAAGGGAAGCAGAAGAAACCCGGCCAGCGGGAGTCTCAGAAGGACAGGAGGGTCCCCAGAGCTCCGGAGAGTCAGGAACCAGCTCCAGGTGAGCTTCACACACAAACACACACACACCGAGAGTTCGGGAGATTCTGCCCGCTGCTGGGGCTTCTAGACCGGGCACTTAAACCAAGAGAGGCCGGTGTGCACGTGTCTGGAGGATAATTTACAGCACGTTCAAAGCTTTATGTTAAAGCAGGAATATACTCTACAAACACAAAGATAATTAATATTGTACACAGATCCTCTTAATGTGACTTTCAGTTTTCTCTTTAAGGTCCAGTGTGTAAGATTTAGGTGAAAGGATCTACTGGCAGAAATTGAATATGAAATAATCCTGTCAATGTTCTCTCCAGTGTGTTTCATCTAAATTGTACGAATTGTTTCTTTACCCTAGAATGTCCCCTTTATATTTAAATACTTTATGTTTACATCAGGCGTGGGGTCCTCTCTACGGAGGCCGCCATGTTTAAAGTCGTCCAGACTGGAAAAACTAAACACCTTTTGAGTTTTCATAAAAATTGAAGGCTACCACAGGTATTCTTAATGTTTGGAAGAGGAGGGTGAGGTGGGGCCTTCAGCTGCAACATGCAAATTCACCCAAAAAATCTACACCCTGAACCTTTAATATCAGACCCATTTTATTTCATTTTTGCAGAAGAGCTTTGAAATTGTCCATAGCAGGCTGAATATGTTTCTCAATTTAAATCACGTTTGAGACCTAAAGATGGATTAACTTTAATGATCCCACACTGGGGGATTCCTGTTACAGCAGCAAGGTGAAAAGCACATAACGAACTATTCAAGATGAAAAAATACAAGATCAAAAAATATATAAAGGATTAAAAAAAAGCAGTGAACAGGATCCAGCAACTCCCAGTGTTGGAGGAAAAGGCCACCAGAAGATTCGACCTGCTGGGAATTGTAGAATGCAATAGGGGAACTTTACAACCTCCACCAAAACCAGATCCTAATAGAAATCCAGAATTTCAATGTGGTTTCATTAGCGGCCCGTTGGGCATCATCAGGAGTTTGTACGATATAAAGTACTGTTCCAGTTGATGAATGGTTCCAGGTATTTTTACTTTATTTGCTCGACCAGACATGTCATTATCTAAGATTGTCATATAGTTCATAAACCATTAGTGATAAGACACCACTGTTAAATATATTATTGACTTGACTTTATGTCTTCAGTCCAAAAGCAGCAGCAGCAGCAGCAGCAGGCTCGTCCTGGACCAGTGACTGAGAGCAGAGAGGACAGAGAGGAGGCTCAGAGGGGCATGAAGAGAGGTGCTGCTGGGGAGCGCAGGGCCAATCTGGAGGAGAAGCCACAGGAGTATTCAATCTCAAAGTAAGTGTTTTCATATGAGAGCAAACCACCAGCTGGTTTGGACATGTAGGAGCCGTCCCCTGAATAAACTGCATTTTAAATCTGATGGTCCCTCAGGCTGCCCTCTTATGCAGACTCTGACCTCAGGGGCAGAGGAGGGCTCAGAGGCAGGAGAGGAGCACGAGGTGGAGGATACACGAGGAACCCAGACAACTTCAACCTGAGGGGCAAGAGAGAGTATGATCGACACAATGGAACGTAAGAATTGTATTTTGTTCATGTAGCAGTCCAGTTAAAAGTCACAGTGTCGTGATGACTGATCTAAGATTCATTGCAGAGGAATATCTCCTGAGGAAAAGAGAGGAGGCAGAGGACCCTGGAACTGGGGCTGTGTTGAAGAGGCTACGAGGTCAGAACTTTGAAAACATGGAAATATTACAGCTTTTCCACTAGACCACAATATAGACGTGTCACCGTTTCTCCATGTCCCTTATTTTGTAGTGAGCTAATGGAGGTGACATCTAATGTTCCAGTCAAAGCAGAGGAGCCCCAAATAACTGTGGATGAAGAGAATCAGAATCTGTGAGTAATGCACATAAACCTCTTTTAAAGTAGCTCCACCAGGTTCAGTGGATTTATCTTTTCATCAGTTCAGCTTTTAAATATGGGTGATGTTGCCTTGTTACATCTATTGCATCTTCTGTCCATCCTGGGAGAGGAATCCCTCACTTGAGATATTTCAATGTTTTCAAAATGGATTTTTCCCTCCTTTTTGCAATTTTACCCAATTATCAAAGAGCAACAGAAGAGGACGATGGAGAGATGGTGGTCCACGTTGCCATGGAGATGACCCTGGACGAGTGGAAGGCCATGCAGGAGATAAGTCGACCCAAGGCGGAGTTTAATATCCGCAAATCGGAGAACAAGATTCCCTCCAAAGCTAAAGTCATCCACCAGTCAAAGCACCCGGAGGTGAGGATGTAAAACACGTCGTAGAACCCATTCACAAGAAAGTCGAGCCGTGACTTAAACCTTATGTTGCTGTGATGTAGCGTTGTAGCCTCCAGGAACAAATCCTTCAGATGTGACCTTTAATCACACCTTAACTGGTGGCAGAAGGAGATATTGAGTTTAGCTCTACAGGTCGGGTTCAACTGTCTGAATTTTGGACTCAGTTGGCGTTTGCCTCCACTCTTCAGAACCTCAAGGGCACCCCTCTGGAGGAGATAGAGGACGAAGGCAACTTCCTCCGTCGGTCTGTGAATGACATCACCTCTCTTCTGGACATCAACTTCGGGAGTCTTGGACGGCCCACCCGCGGGGGTCGAGGAAGAGGAGCTCGAGGTGGCATGACTAACCGCCCAGAGAGACCTAAACCCATATTGGAGAAGGTACGCTCTCAAGGAGATACAGTAGTGTGTGTTCAGGTGGAAGGAACTGCTTCAAATTAACAAGTCTTTATAGATGCTGTGTTTGATATTTGATATATTGGCAGACTGGTTGTTGGTTTTAACAGTAAAACTCAAGTGTATTTGTCTCACTTGTTAAATAATCAACATAAGAATCATCCAGAATATTAAGAACTGTGATATAAAACAAATGAGCATGAGTTGATAATGTCTGTTCTTCTATCAGGAGGGCGATCCAGCTCCTAACCCCGACGACCCAGAAGACTTCCCTGCACTTCCAACAGGAAAATAACTCATCACACTCGTCTTCATTCAACTCCTGTGAGGAGAATTTGTTGCACTTCTTGCTTGACAACACTGTTTCCAAGTCCCTGCTTTTCTTAAGGTCTGGGGCTCTATTGCACTATTCAGAGTTTGATTCCTGGAGAATAAATACTATGTCAAGTTTATCTAGGACCTGTTTGATGTGGTTTTTTAAAATACAGAAATCTGAAATGACTTGAGTGGTGAATCTTAACTTTAGTAAAAATCTGTCTTTGGTATTTATTATCAATAACTGTCCTTTGCTGGACAAAAAAAGGACAAACAGCCAGAAACTTGGTGGGTAAAATTTTATTTAAAATGTCCAATTCTGTGCTGTGAGCAAACTTATGTTGTGGATTATGAGCATGAGTTAGATAAAGGCCCCTTTAGGACCCTTGAGTTTTTATAGCATGATTCAAACATAGTACAAAAATATTTACAAAATACAAACTGAGTATATCAAATGATCACACATTTACAGTACTGAAAAGCTTGTAGTACATGATGGGATAAAAGACGAGCCAGATATTGAACAATGGTACAAATGTGCACAGTACTGTATTGTGTGAGGCATCCATCTTTAAAAAGCAGAATATCTGCTGTACAGTGTGTATTCTGGAGGAAATCTCTTGAATTCACACATTCACATGCCGGTCATATAGATATATTTCAATCTGATGTTTGCTACTGCATGCTTTAAAAGTATAGGAACAACCAGGCAATGATTAAAACAGTTTGTCTCATGATGCTGTTAAAATTATAAAAACAAAGTGCCTTCAGGCGAAAATGACTTGGAATAAAAAAACAATCTAAAATGCTGACATCACTTCGGTTAAAGTTTGTTCCAACAAACTAGTTCTGCTGTATACAAAGGATTTCATGTAAAGTTCATCAGGCTTTGCAGATCCACAGGTTCACCGAAGTAGAGGAGCTCTAGCTTTGGGTATGGAGTGACTAAAGGAAACAAACAAAGTCAGCATTAGAAGGTGGAGAGGTTTTCATTGGTTTACATTCTGCTATTACAGTGAAGTCTAACATTAGAAACATTTTTACCTCTGCCAAGTTTCATTGTGTTTGTTTGTTAGCAGGATAACGGAAAATCTGTTTAATTTGTGAGGAGGTGGGACGTGACCCAAGGTAGAATCCATTCAATTTCAGAATGGATTCACAGACACAGACAGATCCTGGAGTTTAACAGGGCAACATAGGGGGTTCAAACTTGGCGGAGGGTTACACTCTCAGAGCGCTCTATTTCCATTCATAAAATCACTGTTTGTGCACATGGATCAAACACACGCCTCATGGTTTATGAGGCGTGTGTTTGCTTCATAATACATGATTTAAAAACAAAACAAAACATGAACAATACAGAATGTAGCAGAAAGTGAAGTGGAGATAGATACCATAGCCTGGAAAATCGAATTGATTTCAAAGACCTGCGAGTTTTACGTCCTTGGGAGGCAGTGCGTCTGTGGCATGTAAGAAATAGAAAAGAGAAGGAAAGAGGAAGAAGATAAACACTGCAGATTAGTACCAGTGAAGGACGTGGTGACAACAAGCCAGAGGCAGAAGACACAGTGAGCAGCAGAGTCCAGAGAAGCTCTAGCCAGTCATCCTCTGAAATATATTATTCTTAAAGAACGTGCAAAGAAAGCTACTGTAAGAAAGAACAGCAAGACTGAGGCAGGTGGAGTTTCTCGACATGAGCAGGAGCAGATTTACTAAACATTAGTCCTGGAGAATATCAGGATATAAAGTGGGTAAAGTTAGTACAACATCTGAGTACCGTAGCTGGGTTGCACCATCATCTTTAAATAAAAGCAAACCAATAAAGTGTATTTGAAATAAATGATGGTGGATG